AGTTTTCTATATTTCCATTTTCTATACCCGCGTTCTCTCTAAATGTCACGTTTTCTTTGCACTACTTTCAACCAACGTGGAAGCATTTTAATCTATTAATCCTATTTCTACTAACATTTCCTCTTCCTTTTATGCTTATACATTTTACTGCCTCTTTACCTTATACATTCAAGTATTGTTCTTTGTAATGTATATATTTTGATTTATAATTTCGTTATCATAACGTAGATTCACTGTTAACAATAACAACGTTACTGCCTCTTTACCTTAATTGCCTCCAATGTCGGAAAAACAATGTTCATTACTTGAACACTTTTCGGTAATCTCTTGACGTGTAAGGACCTAGCAATTTTTGTGAGCGGTGTGACATGTGGTAAGTTGAAGGTATTTGTTACAATGTTTGTTTTATATTTATAGGTGTTTTAAAGACAATTGAAAAAAAGTGTTTCTTTTATCATAGTTGATAAATAGTGTTATTCAACATATTTTATCATGTAATGTTTTTTACGGTAGGTACTGACAATTCGTGGAGGAATATGCCGGTAGCATGCCCTCATATCGGTAGCCCTTAAATGCCCCAAATGCAACGACATATTCATGTAGATGCGACAACCCCCCCCCAAAAAAAAAAAAAAAAAAAATGATAGAAAGGTTCAATTTCACTTCGCCGGGTACTTTTCCAAGCACATGTTAGAAATGTTGTATCCGGCGGAGAATAAAAGATTTCATTAGTTCCTCCACGCCGCATCTCGTCTGTAGAGTGACGGTATGAGTTGTATATTGTTTAATAATTTTTAAAATAAATTGACATCGTGCGAATAAGCGGTGGGGTGGGAATTTTGATATTGTGTTCGTTATTTTGGTTAGCATAACATTTTATATTTGAAAAAATTGTGTATCGGATATCGGGTTTGTACGCATTGCGAGTTGCGCTTGTTTACTCGAGCGGTGTTTCATTCGGTGTCCGTCGGACAGTTTTTTTTTTTTTTTTTTTTGTATTATACGGCCTTTCTATTGTTGCCATGACATAAATTTGGGCTCGTCTTTCATATAATTACAATTTTTATAGATGTTTAAGTGGTATTTATATTATTTAGACATTTACAGGTTGCTATTGACATCGTGCATCCCCCCCCTCGAATGGAGCTTCGTGAACTCGCTTTCTCCCCTTCATCCTTCCCCCCCCTTAGGAAATGAATCTGCAAGCAACCCCTCCCCCTTCGGAGGGGTGGAGTCCCCCCCTGTTTGGAACTTAGTCTCTGGGAGGGTGCGTCGGGCTCGGTAGCAATTGCCTCGACGAAAACCGAAACTTTTCACCGGACTGCCCTGGGAATCGTCTTGTCAAACCTGGCGGCAGAACGCGAAAATGCGCCTGCGCAGAAGGTGCTTCAGACTGATTTCCTTAAATCACTCTAATAAATCTTGAAACATGAAAATGAGGTATAACCACGTTAACAAAGGCCTTTGAAAGCATATATGTGGAACAGCAGACACTGATAATTATCCAAATATCGTTTTGACAACGACGTAGTAATACATGAATTACTTAACAGAGCGCAAGAATGAGTTGACTGGTCACAATTTTGTTTACATTCACGATGTCAACATGGCGAGGGACTTAGAAAAAGATGGGTCGGTCTTCTTTCTTCTCTATCGTGTAATTCCTTTATTTTCAATTTGCGCACCTTTTGCCATAGATAAAAAGTAACCATTCCAACCATTCCATATTTTTTTTTTTTTTACTGTAACCCTGATTGTTATCCGCGGTAATTTTACCGAAGAAACCACGCCGAATATCGATGAAATCATTGGATTTCCTGCAGAAAAATCAGGCAGTAACTGAATGGTGTGAATTCCCGTAGATTTTATTGAAAGATAGGTTGGATTCCTGTAGTTTCTAGAATTTGACGGTCCATAGAATCTCAAAAGGCATCTTTTCCGGTGGCAATTAGGGTGTCGCGAAACGCTCCGCGACACCCATCACGAGACAGTGTCTCGTGATCGGAGGCGAGACAGGCCTCTAAGCTCCACCCATTTCTGTGACGTAATGGGAATGAACGCGGTTGACGGCTTGCTATTTTACTGTACTGGCTATTTTTCCAACAGGTAAACAGTATTTTGAAATGATATCCAAGATTATGGTGGGTAGTGCGGTGTTATATAAATCCAATATAAGTACGAATATGCATGAAATATCCAAATTAGGAGGAATGCATCTGGCAACTCGATTAAAGTTAACCGTCTGCTCGAATCCTGTCGCGCAAGAGGTGTTGCGTTTCCCGTAACCGCTGGAAAAGATGCCTGAAGTTGGCGGGCACGTCCGTAGTTTTATTAGTAGATTTGCCATCTTTAAGCTCTGCTCGGAATCTATCGTGATCTATTTTCTTTATTTCTAGATTTCTGAGCCTTCGCAGATTCTATCAAGGTTGATGTTAATTTTACATAACAGGGACAATATGCAGTGCGAGGTAGTGGCGGAGTTGGGTATGCTTTAACAGGAGGATCCCAGGCTATTCCGTGATAGAAGGATGGGGAGGAAAGTTTCGTTTCGGTGTTGCATAGATTTTGGGCTTTTCTGAAGAATATGGTGCCAGTGAAGAAGTCACTAGATTTAAATAAATATTAGTTTGATATCTAAGCCCACAAATTGCCCCAGATGCCAAAAAGGCATGGGCAATCGCCATTTACTGTTCCCCAACTCCACCCAACAAAATTGGGGGGGGGGGAGGGGGCAAAGAGTGGCCTCTGTTTGATTTCAGTGTCGGTAAATATAAATTGATCGTGAATGCAGTGAAATGCGGCATTTCGGAAATAAGAGGCAAAGGCGCTCTATATTAAGAAACCTATAAATACCCAAATATGATGTAGGCAACACTATGAAAGTGTAGGGGTTGGGGGGGGTACTTTGCGTTTTCGTTACAAGAAACATTTAAATTTCTTGTGTATAGTAAGTTTTTTCTACATGATTACTCTGCTGTCTCGAATAGGTAGGGCTGATGTGACTCCTCCAACACTCGCTTTCTCTTCACCTTCAAAGAAATGACTTTTCCCTAGGTGCGAGTGTCCGATTGTACCGCCATATAAGATAAGAACTGAAACAGTTAATTATTTTAATCTTGCCTGTTTTCTTTGCCAAGGGGGGCAAGGCCCACCTGAACACTCATTCTTCACACTCTATCTGATGTCACTGATACGCACGATGTCCCCTATGTATTGTCCGTCTTTTAGTTCCAAACATTGTTCTGTCCATGCTTTGCAACAGCCTCCACCTCTGCTTTCCTTCCACCTATCTTCCCTTCACCGACCTCCTAACCTATACAGAATCCCACACTTTCTGCTTTGACCTGTTCTTCCTCAGATGCATACATATCCTTCACTTAATTTGATTTCCTTGCCTACCCCCCCCCCCCCCCACGTAACCCATTCAGCTCCTTAACCCATTTTAAAACTTTCAATATTACTCTGCATAGGTGACGCATAGCAACTACTAACTCGACTACCCTTCACCATCCTTTACTTTACCTTCCTATAGTGCTACATGACATAAATGTCTAGCACATTTATTTTGGTTTTAACCATTTAATTTTGAATTTTCAATTCCTCATTCTTTACATTTATGTATTTCCCACTTCAAATGACCTTTTTCTCATCAACTTCAGGAAGGCAATAAACAGTCTTATTTTCGGTCATTCTGTTCATTACATGCATTTACCTTCTAATTCATGGTTGCGGGAAACTGCCACTACACCATTTGTAAACGAGGCTTTGCAGTGTTGTGTATCCGTATACACGACACTAGGAAAGCACTTCGTTTACATATGAGCGGTAGTTTTCAGGATGGTCAGATAATTTTCATGGTTCATATGGAAATGTAAATTTTACCTGTCTAATCTAACATTCCAGCACCAACATGTGGCAAGCGGTATTGCTTTGTGCTTGCTTGACGGCAACTTCAGCTTATCATTTCGATCCAAGTCCTATGCATGACTTCAACATGAAAGCCTATTTGTCTGCGAGGAAGTGGACACCTGTCGGAATCCAGGTTGTGGATGTAAGTTGTTACCGATAAATTATGCTTGAACATTTTAGACAGAATGAGGATTGACTATTTGTTTGGCACATACTTGTAAATGTACCTTGTAGATGGAGTGTTTTAGGCTTTATGTATGAGTAATTGCCTGGGCCTGCAATTAAATTTCTGCATTTGTATCTAAATTGGATGGATGCGTGTAGCTTGTCTTGTATAACTGCAGTTTGACGTGGATCCTGATGCGATGGCAGACCATCCTGCTGAGGACGAAACGGAAGGTAAAGTCCATGGTGTCACTACTATGGACGAGTGTTCAGTCACCATGGACAAGATAGCTGCCCTTCCGGCATACCTCAGGGAACCAATTGTTTCCTTAGCGGCCAAAAGCATGGAGAGCCTCGGCAGTGAAGAGGAACCTACTTCTGAGGACCATTTACATCTAGAAAAATTAGACCTGGGTGAAAACACTTTGGAAAATGAGGACGACTATGAAGAAATGACGCTGAGTGACGAGAAATTGAAGAAACTGGAGAACAGCTTGACTGCTGAAGACGTGGAGAGGATTAAAAAACAACTCTCTGCTTATCTCTCAGAAGATGGGCTAACTGAGGAGGAGATCGAGAGAGTAGCTCTGGATAGCCATGACCTTGCAAAGTCCTTCATGACATTCAGAATTTGGTGGCAGAACAACAAATTGATCAGTCTGCGACCCCGTTGCCTCGTGGGAGCGTAAGTATTTTCTATATTCATTTCCCACTTCTTTAAAATTATGCTGAAGATAGTGTGAAAATAATAAATCTTTTTTTTTTTTTTTTTTTAGGAATGTCTGTGCTTTTAAGTGGAGAAGACTGTTGTTCCAAGGACGTACGTATTGCTGCCGACACAGAAAGGGTCTTCCCAGGATCTTCCAACGGGGAAATAAAAGGGTTTGCAACTGCTAAGATTATCTGTTTAATAAATCTGATGGAAATATCGACTATTTATAACCTTTTCTACTTAATATGGCAAACGAGTAGACTCGGTTCTACTCGTATACTTTATATGGCTATTATGCAAGGCTTGTAAAAAATGAATTTGATCAAGCGATAGGGGAAGGCAAGCAAAATGAGGTACCCCTCCAACTATGACGTAATTCCTGGTGGATTATGAATTTAAGGTGTTGATATTTTCTAAGAACTAAAATGGTAATGCCTGTGGAGGTCAATTGCCGGGTGTATCCATAATGCGTTAATGAATTGAGGTCTGTGAGAGCCGTGCTGAAAGGATGAAAGGCCTGGTTTGAGTCAGTCATGTACAGCGGTCGGGAGCCATGGGCACGGTATTCCCTTGGTTAATTGCCTAGCCTTTACCCCTTATGGGAACACTGAGGGTTACTGTTTCTTTTCCCCATTTTATTCGGGCTCCCCTTGACCAATAATGATCCTTTACCCTTAACAGGGATACTTAGGCTTGCTCCTTCATCGACTAGGCCATCTAAATTCCAACTCCTGCCTCTTTTGACCACGGCTCCGACCACTTGATATTAATAGCCCTTCCTCGACACTTACAACTCTATCCATTTCAAAACCTCCCCTCAGGTTATTACTAACCTCCAGAAAGCCCCAGAAAGCACCCCTTCCTATCTCCCAACATTTTTTTCTCCATCTGCAGTCCTCTCCAATGTTACCCCATCTTCCCTTATTACTATACAAAACTACACTCCACAACACCCTATCTTAGCCAGCTTAGAAGATGAGGACTGCGACCCAATGCTGGTGATCTCCCCTGCTTTGGGCCTCAGCCCCTGACTCGACTAATTTAACATGGTCTTTTCTTCCGCCAACTCTTTCGGTTGTCCCTTCGCTGATCCCTTCTACCATCTACTTCCTAAGGTGTAAGAGCCGTGCTGAAAGATAAAAGGCTGCCTTTATGCCAGTCCGGCCTGAGGGAACCATGGGCACGGTATTCCCGTTTTAGTTGTTTAGCCCTTACCCTTCAACCCAGAGGGTTGGATGTTTATTTCCCCAACATAGCCAAGGCTTCCCATGGCCATGGCAAATAATGAAGATGTAATAGCCATATTAAAGGCAATGAGGCTTGCCCGTTCATCAAATAGCCTCACCAATTCAAACTCCCGGCTCCCCAACCCCAGGCTCTTTTAACCACGACTCTGAACACAATACTACCCACTCTTCAATGCCTACTAGTTCATTATCTACCCAAGTCGAGACTCCTACTCTCCCAACTTAAACTTAATCAACTCTACCTCCACAACCTTCATCAATCGCCTCATCTTCCCTTATTACTACCTTACAGCTTCACTTTCCATCTCCATAAGACTACCACCTCAACAATACTCCCTCTTCCATACGTCCTCATCGTTCTACCACCCCCAACTCTACAAATGTATTAAATACTCTATTTAGCCTAGACAATTACAAATAGGACCAATTTTTCATGACCCCCCCCCCCTACAGCTCCTTACTCAGGCAACCCTTTCAACAATGTCTCCAAATACAAATGGTCAGTCCCTTCCTTATCCGACCCAATCATTCCCGTCTCGTTAGTTACATCTGAAATTGAAGCTATAGCATTATAAAATCTAACTAATATCTCTGGCAACCCCATTCCTGCAGAACCTCCAACCGTCAATACTTGTACAGGAACTCCCCCCCCCCCCCCAGTATGCTGTCCAGTCGATACCAAAGATTGTTCAGATTGTGGAGGACAGTGATGTGATATCAGGACATTGCTACTACATTCCTTCTAGTCACCGGAAAAAAATCAACCTTGCTAAAATTACTTTTAGTACACATGACCTCCCATTTCATATCTACATTGGTGGACAATATCTCCCTGTTCGACCATACCAATCTCCTCCCCGCCAATATCAAAACTGTTGGCGATTTGGACAATCTGCGTCCAATCCGGTCTTAACCGATCATATTGCTCTGCACAATCGCGCACATGTGCTAACTGCGGCGGCCTCCATAATGTATTTCATAGAGGTTATCCCACTTATAAGTTCGAGTCTGAGTGGGCAACTCTGATACAAAAATGATCTCACTTTGCGTGAAGCCAGACAGGAAGCACCTCAACTATGGAAGATATTCAAAGCTAGATGCTCGAGACACCACCAACCTTTGCCTTTTACTCCCCAGACACCAGTCTCCTCTTCCCCTCATATGGAAACCTTTCTCACAAAACTCTCCAACCAACTTCACTGTAATAACTATAGAAGATAGCCTAACCTGCCGATATCCATCCTTCCCTAACTCGCATTACCCCTACACCCCTTCCTCCTCCCCTCCCAACACAACCTATCCCCCCAACTACTCCTCCTACCGATATCCATCCTCCTCCTCCTATTCCCCCTACATCCCTTCAGCAAACTCCCTCCCAACACAACCCATCCCCCTCAGCTCCAACTGCATGTACAGTACATTATCCCTCTATCCCATCCCCTCAATCATTTCCACTCCCTCCTGGATGTATACGCGAATACCTTATGTAATTCCCTTACCTACACCCACCATAACCCATTCACACAACTTTACCCATCTTGAACCTTTCAGTATTACTCTAGATAGTTGCTATGCGTATAAATGGAAAATCACGTCTATTCCTCATATTTCTTTTTTCATATTTTTGTTTACTGATATGTCGGATGCGCACGGGGCGAAAAAAAAAATAATGAAAATCTTCATGTTTTTTGATTGCATTTAATAAGCGAGTAAACAGCATACGACCGTGCTTTCGCTGTTTTATATTAATTCCATGCATTTTCCCGAAAAATCAACTGGTGATATACGTTATACAAGCATAAGAAAGACAAAACGACGGTATGAAAAAAAAGATGAAACAAAATGGTACAACACTTTTTTGCGCTCCTTAGTGATAGCATCTTTTAGAAAATGGGAATCAAGCGATGAATTGTCAAGTGGTAATTGAATGGCGAAATTATGAATAGAGAAAAGGGCTTCTTCATGCCTCTCTTAGTATATGGATAAAATGAAAACCGGAGCATTTTAATCAATAAAAAAGATACGCGAGGAGGTACGTATATGTACAACAACGCAAAATAAAAGTTTTAGTATTACTGTAACAGTTGTGTAATTGATATAACGATTCTTTCCTACTCACCTGTTCATTACCTCTCCCACTTTTTATAATAGTGGCAGAGAGAGAGAGAGAGTATACGAGGAGCATAGAGCCATACTTGAGAAGTGCTCTGCCGGGCCAAGTCAAACCATACTGCTGACCTTATGGCGCATGAGTTTGCATCCGCCATTAGACTGATCTGTTATCTTTTAAGGAAGTGGTTGTGGGTGTGAGTTCCCACATGTATGTGTATGTACTGGAGGTGAGTGGACCTGAGTAATCCAACCTGGGGGAAATAAGCCGCGCTGCAGGTTGCTGCCACAGTATCCAATAGATCACCATTAGTATTCGATTATTGTGATAATGTCTATACATTCAGTACCTTCAAATTTAAAACTATAATCGTCTGCTCTTATTGTTTTGGCTTAATACTTATACTTAAGAGGTGATAAACATATTAAATGGATACAATGTGTGATATAAGAGCGTGGAACGTATCCGGCACGTATCCATGCTGCTAGGCGTGACGTAACAACACACCTTTTACACGTTCGCAGCAGTTGTGAGAATGATTAATCACAAAATGTACCAGTATTTAGATAATTTTCGCACGAGATAATTTCAGCATATAACATCAACAAACGTTTTCTCTCTAAAAAAAATATACTAGTATCCTGTATAGTTTCAATATTATTCCCATTTTAATTATTTGCACAATAAGGAATAAATTTTTAGATATCTATGAAGAGGATATAAAATCAATCAGGCTGACACCACAGTCGAGGGACATTTATGTTGGTCGAAAACTCGAACAAAAGAATCGTTCTATACACCACATCTATCATTTTCTCCAGGAAGTCCCAAGAATCCCAGTCTTGCAAATGTTCCATTCGCAAAAATCTTTTACAAAATCTTGGTATTGGTACTAAATATATCTTTAAAATTAGTAAATGGTTAATGGCTGAAAGCAAAATAAATGTGCTAGACATTATATAAGGTCATAAAGCACTAAAGGAAGGAATATTAAAGAGTGATGAAGGGATATCCGAATTTTGTAAGGATTTCCCGAGAATTTCTAAAGGATTTCCTGAGAATTTCTTAGGGATTTCCTGGGAATTTCTTAGGGATTTCCGGATTTCCTGAGAATTTCTTAAGTTTAATATCATTTAGTTTATTAAAATTTATTATCCGGTTTCTTCCTAACTCCTCGGTTGCACCATCACACTGTCCGTCGTTAATTTCTAGTTCTTGAAAAGTTTGAGCTTCCCAAGGATTCTCGGCCATAAAATCAACAAAGAAAGATATCGTAAGGTTGGTCAACTCCCTCCTCTGGGACGTAGTCTGAAAAGTTCGATTCGGACATATCATGTACTGGTCTTTCATGAAAGAGGTCTTCGTCATCTCCCGACCATTCTTCATATTCTCTAAGAGAATATAAACAAAAAGATTTGGGAATACATTATATCCTGCTTCAGTTATAGTTCGATTTTCTTTCTTACTCATTGAAAATCCGTTTTCTTTGAAGGTAAACTTTTTAAGCCATAACAATTATAATTCTAAGTTAGAAAGGGTTAAGCATTGTCACTGTAACTGAAGTATTATTTATATATTCAGCCTTAACGCAGTATACGAGTCAACTGTATACCTGAATCAACCAGGATCTTTCTGTCTCTCGTGTCGGAATAGTTTATGAGAAAATGATAGATGTGGTGTATAGAACATTCTTTTTTCGTCCAACATACCTATTCCTGCAGTGTCAGCCTGATTAATTTTAAATCCTTTTCGTAAATATCTAAAAAAGATAAAACAAAATGTAAGATATTTTTCCTTATTTTGTCAATAATTAAAATGGGAATGATATTAAAACTATACAGGACACTGATGATTTGT